ATGTAAAATTTACAATTGGGCTGAAACTCCAACTTAGATTAGCAGAAATTTTGAAAACTATGCCAATTTTTTGATTAATTTTAAATAATTGTTATTATAGTTATCTTAGAAGCAGTAGTACAGTTCTCTTAGTTAACATGCAGATAAAGAAATGATTAGAAATAAACAAGCATTTAAAGAAAAAAAAAATCCCTGCAAATTAAAAAAAAAGGAACTTTATGCTAAGAGTAGCGCATTTTATCTGTTACATTCAAATTGAGTAAGTACTATTAAATTTTTTAATGTTCAGTGTAAAATGCATACTGCAGCAACATTGTCTCTTTTAAATTATAGCTATCTTTCACACGCAGCTCATTTTAAACGCTGGTTCTTCAGATTAAAACGATATTTCTTCAGATATTTCTATGCTGTCAGTTGCATCTCCGCGCTCAGTGTCATCATGGCTACGTCTTCACTCCTGACTGCCTGTTTCAGGGGGAAAAGCTCTATGAGCTAGCCCTTCTCTTTTAAGTCCTGTATTTATCACAAACTTAATGGCCAAAACATTTATGATTTTATTCTTTTCACTTAAAATTTGCAGAAATTTTGAAGAAAATTATTTTTAAAAAAATCCGCCAAAGCTACACTGACTACCAATAAGTATTTGGACACCTATGCAAATGACGATATCTGCAAATGACGATACGTCACGGACTCCGCCGGTATATATCGTGTAGGAAACAACATCGGCTTTAGTCGCATGCAAGATGCCTCGCAGTTCGGAGCTCTCCTGATTTCGAGAAAGGTATAATTATCGGGTATCACAAATGTGGCCGATCCTTAAGGGACATATCTAGCGATCTGAAGTACCCAAAATCGGCAGTGGCCTATGTGATTAAGAAGTGGAAGGTGAGCGGTGATTGTCGGAATGTGCCCCGAGTCGGCAGACCAACGAAACTGGGAGATAGAGACCGACGAGTGCTGTCCAGAGAAATTCGAAAGAACCGCACCCAACCGATGGCCCTCATCCACGAGGAGTTTCAACAGGTATCCGGGAGTATTGTTTCAATGAATACCATCCGTAAGGAAGCACATTTGCTTGGTTTTCATGGTCGTGCTGCTGCCCATAAACCTTTGATTACAAAGTCCAACCGCGCTGCTCGGTTAAATGTGGTGCAAAGCACATCCAAATTGTACCGTAGATCAGTGGAAACGGGTTCTTTGGAGTGACGAATCAAAGTTCACCCTTTACCGTTCGGATAGCAGGGTCTGGGTCTGGCGTCTACCTGGAGAACGTCGCCTGCCAGAATGCATTGTGCCAACAGTCAAGTTCGGCGGAGGTGGAATTATGGTCTGGGGGTGTTTCTCCTGGTATGGGCTGGGACCCTTGGTCCCCATTCATGGTAAGCTCAACTCCGATGCCTACTGCACTATTTTGGATGACAATGTGCTTCCTACGTTGTGGAAGTTTTACGGATTGGACGCCTGTTACTTTCAGGACGACAATGCCAGTTGTCATGTTTCGACGTTAACCAAGGCTTGGTATGGTGCCAATGGAGTTCATCGAATGGACTGGCCTGCCCAGAGTCCAGACCTAAACCCTATCGAGAACCTCTGGGACGAGTTGCATCGCCGAATTCAGGGGTGCACTACCCGTGCAAAATCGGTGAAGGAACGTCTATGTCTTCTCCAAGCCGAGTGGAAGAAAATACCACTAGCTGTCATACAAAGACTTGTGGAAAATATGCCCCGGAGGGTCCACGCTGTAATTACCTCTCCTGGAGGCTCTACCAATTATTGATTTTGATAAAGTTAGTTTTTCTTTTCTATCACAGGTGTCCAAATACTTATTGGTAGTCAGCGTATACAGTAAGCACTTGTTATATCCAATTTTCATGCGTTTGAAGGTTCGATGTAGCCGCATAAAAAAGCATTAAGTGAATAAGAAGCTGGATGAAGTAAAACGGTTCGTTATAAACCGAATTTAACTGTATATAGCTAATCCGTGTTGACGATTTTAATTTTACAGTAAAACAATACAAAAAAAGTTTTCTACAGAAAAACTTCTACAACAGCAATCCTTTCAAGAACACAGGCAGTGCGTTCACCAATCTTACAACTCTACCTGCTGTAGGCTCACCAACGTCCAAGCGGTAAAGTCGATGAAGACTAATAGTTCGGTACAGGGTTCGAATCTAGGCGAATGGCCGAGTATATACGAGCCAGTTTCCCTTAGAAAGTCACCCACAAAGGCATCTCACCCTCAGGCAAATAGCCTAGATTGTTTTGCCATAATAAATATAACCATTAATTGCCATAATCAAATAAATTAAAGTCTTCTACATTGCCAGAATCAAATAAATTGCCATAATCAATCTTTTAATTGCCCTAATCAAATAAATCAAAGTCTTTACACCTATCAACTTTTTATAAAGTCCTTGATAACCTTGACCCTATAATCTTGATAGTCTCTGCTCGTTTCCTTAGTGAGATTTCTTGGCGACATTTCAGAAACATATTTCGTTCCGCTTCTTCAAAATGACTTCGTCCCAGCACAGACATATTCTATTCTCCCACCTTTTTACACATGCTTAATATTCCTCTCATATAAATAGATTTCCTATTATCGGAGATAATATAGTTCCATGTTAAATTAGATAAAAGCAGCAAGCATTTAAGATTAAAATACATACATTTTGATTAGAAACGTTTTGCATGATATAAGTAAATTTGCCATCTTATACATATAGGTGTAATATTATTTTTAAGCTTTTTTTTTTTAACTTATTAAATTCAAAATAGCACAATAACACATTAAATACATTTTTACATATTTATTTTTGACCTTTTTATACAATCAGGTAATGCGTATAACGGCTTTCAAAATGTAAATGCATATTACATCAGTTATATTTTAATATGAATTTTCGAAAGAACATTCATATTCAAATTCTTCATATTCAAATTAAAATTCGCTTAAAGATAATTAAGGCGAATTTTAATTTTTCTGGAAGTAAATTAATAAATAAATACACAGCATTAGGATTAAGTTCGTATTGGATATTCTCGTTCTTTACCTCGTACAACTACGGGAAAGAAGTACACTCTACTTGTCACGAACTACTTTAGTACGTGGCCCGGAAGCTCGCCATATCCGATCACGAAGCTTCAACCGTTGCAAAAGTTCTAGTAGAAAACTGGATTTGCCGCTTTAGAATGCCTCCTCTTATTCACTCTAACCATGAAACAAACTTCACATCTGCCATGTTTAAAAGATTAAGTAGAATTTTACGTATGGAAAAGTCTTAAACCTCTCCTTTAAACATCCACAGTCGGACGGCATGCGAAAACAACAACATTGTCACTTTTTAGCACTTAATATACAATCCTTTTGTGCATTCAAACAGCTACTTGATTCCTTCGTATAGCTCATCTTTTGGAGTATTTTTCAAGTCTCTCGTTACAGCTTGTTGAATGTAAAAATAATTTCTTTTTAAGTCAGATTTTACTTCAGGGAATATAAATTAGTCTGCAGATACCAAATCTGGTGAATAAGGGAGGTACTTGAGAACTGTTACATTTTTCTTTGCTGAAAACCATTTTAGAAGAACGGAATTATGCGACGACGCATTGTCATGCCGAATGAGCTTCTTCAGTGCTGAATTCTATTCAGAAGTCTATCCACCACATCTGTCACTGTTTATCGCTCAACCTCCAAATTCCTTACGACTTGCTCATGTCATCCGCATGATCACAAGGCTGGATTAAGACTTTCAGATGTTTTAAGCAATTAAAAGATTATGATGTCCCCACATATATTTACGCCAGTTTTTCCCTCATTATTTTTTGTTTTCGGCCATGGTTTAGCTGCATCATACATTCCATAATAAAACCAGCAATGGAAAATTTTTGTGACCATTTACTGCACTTTTTTCTGATGACCCCTTTTCGTGATGCCCTAAACACGTGCTTATGTTGCTTAATGGTTAACCCAGATCTGATGTTCTTTACTCGAGATTAGATTTTTTAAACAGAAATTTCTATTGCTGTGCTAAACCTTCTCCACCTAAGCAGATGATTGCAATTTTGTCTAAAAATTAAAAGCAAAATGCCAAAGTTTCATTTACAACCACAATTTATCTGAAAATATCTGGATTAGTTCCCGTTTTACAGCAAAACTGTATTGTTATTCTCGACGCAACTTTCGAGTCTAGGGCAGCGTATGTTCACTGATTCCAAGCAAACCATTAGCAAAACCATTTAGCAGGTTTGCTCTAGATTGTTAAAAAAAAAAAATTAGGCTTAAAAACTTTGAAGACGGTCTCTATAAGCATTCCAAAAATTTATGATTCTTATAACACGCATCTATTTTTCCGTGCTTTTTCAAGAACACGCTACTCTGCTTTTGTGTACTTCTTCGCTAACAAATTTTAGCATTTTAAAATACAAATTTGAATTATTAAATAAAGATTATATGATATATTAAAAATAAAACACTGTTGTTCTCCATATGTATGCAGCTAATAATCCATATGTACGCAGTAATCACAGAATTGCATAAACTTGGCATTGCGCACTGATCATGATCAAGAGCAACGAAAATAAGGTTACCAGAATAAAATCATTATCTAACGTAAAAATCACCAAACTTGGCGAGCACCCGATACTTCATTTTAGTCAGCAGCCGCCTAAGGCGCGAACTCAGATGTTCTCATTATTTCGGTTCTGACTGTACCGATCGCCTAGGGCCAAAAAAGTATTAGAGCATGGCCTGCCTTCTGTTCAGTTCGGAAAATGCTATTTTGATGGTTATTTGAATGAAAAACACCCTGTTGGCATTCTCGGTGCACATAGTTTTCATGGTTTTTTCCACTTGAAATGAAAATCCGAAACAGCTGCCTTAATGATAAAGTCATTCGTTTCTTTATTAGATAAAGATGATAAGCTTTAAGCTAATCAAATTAAACAAACGGCAGTAATCAGGATGAAACTCCGCTTACTTAGTCTATTTTGAGTTTGTATTTTGTACTTATTTACCAAAGTTTTTTTTTTTTTTTTTTATATCCTCAGAGTATATTACATGCAGCATGATGCTGCTTAGTCTATTACTTGAAGCACTTAAAAATCTTTTCGACCCCTCCCTCATTTACGATCGTAATAGGTGTCATTCACTGCACAGCACTTATTTTCTCTATCTCATTTGATATTGTAGTCCAAGTCAATCTTCATTCGTGGGTTTTTCACGAAGTTCTCTTCGTTCTTTACACCCACTTCATTTATTTTTAACGTGTTTCTACACATAAAAAGGAAATGAAGTGGATGTGGAAAGGGGATTAAGGCAGTCTAACCATCTTTCGAAGCTGCTGTTACCATGGTCACGAGGCAAACCAGACAGCAGAAAATGAACTTGAAGTGCCTACTCTAAATAATGGATTATAAAGCCACTTGCTAGAAGCTGCAGAACATTCTATAAGAGTCTCTCGGAAGGAAATGATTACTTGCCGTAAGGAGTTGTATTTTTTAATTTGCCTCTTCTTGGTATTCCTTAACTTACTTCGGTTTCAAGACTGAGTCATTTTTCATTGTTTGGTAAATCAAATCATTGCGTGATATTGCAAATAAACAATATTTATGAATATCATCTCAAAGAAGGTGTTAATGCTTTTATTAAATTTAATCTTGGCAAAATAAAAATTGTCGCTATAGCATCTGAAGGAAATATCAGTAGCAACCCTCACCGCAAATAACCCAGTAAAAAAGAATGTACATCAATGAATAAGTCTCTTCATTATTAAATGAAAATCAAATTAAATTTTTTTTAATTTCTCTTCAGAGACACTCCACTAAAGGTCATATTTTAATCATTCCAAGAATGTCGTACTGCTGAGTTTTCAACTGACTGTTTAATTTTTTTTTTTTTTTTTTTAAATAATCTTTTAGCAGGATGCTTAAATGCACTAATTTGCGATAATTAATTTGGTGCTAGTTTTTAATATTATAAACAGTTAAGAAAGGGTTTTCGAACTATTTTGGGGTTATGTTACGTTACGCTGCCATGCATTATCAGCCCAATGATTTGGAAAATGAATGAAACGGAAAATTTTCAATTTATCTTCACCGAGACTGGCAGACGGCCATTTTTCAGAGTGTTGCTATTCCAGTGATCTTCATTTCATCTTCCAAATTAAACGTGCATTAACAAACTGAAAGATTAAAAAATAATAAGCACACTTCTTAATAATTTAAGTCTTTATTTTATTTTTCAATATATATCTAACTGATGTAATTTAAAATACATTTAACTAATAATATATCCAATTCATAATTGCAGCCACCAGTGGAGGAATTTAAGACGGCTGAATATTGGAAGTTCGAGCTGAGTTCAGTCCAAGGCTAGCTATATGGCTGGTTTCATGAATATTCCCATGAATAACGTGAATAGGAGCCAGTTTCTCTCGGAAAGTCCTCCATGAATGCATCCGTCGGGCAGATAGCCTCGTGGACTCTGCCACATTCAAATTTAAATAACCTAACCAACTCATAATTCTTAAGAATATTTGCGGCGTTATCAAAATTAGTAAATGATGCTTCCAATATGATTACGAATTTCCAATACAATTACGTAATCATTCAGTAATTACGTTTGTCCCCCCTCTTTGTTTTACGTGTTGTTGATTTATTTCGGGCTTGAAATTCAAATCTGTTATTATTTTAATTTTTATATCAAAAATAGACATAGAAAAATAAAGTGGTCAATTCTAGACTAGACAACGGATTAGCTAATGAAGACATGAATAATATGCATCTTAATCAATGAAATGCTGCGCTGTAAATGACCTTGAATTTAGAAAAGTATGTGTTCGGAAACAATTGATTCATTCAGTTTCGTAAGTATTTGCTTGAAAATCAAAAAGCTTTGAAGAATCGTATAATAATAGAAAATTTAAGCCGAAATTTTAACTCATGAAATTATATGCATTTATATAAACTAGTAATGTTGCTATGGTATATTATACTAAACAATAGTATGCATAAAACATAAGTTTAAATTAAATTTTAAAAATGGATATGCATTAAATGTAGTTAATTTTTTTCACAGTAACCTTTTAAAATGTATGTAAATAGTAACCCATCAACAATAAACACTGATAAATTCTGCATTTAGGAAGAATTCTTTTAACGTTGAAATACCATAAATAAAGCATTTACTGTTAGGCGCAAAATAATTTCCATTATAGAAATGTTAAATAAAACTATCCAAGCAGATTTTCAAAATAAAGATAGAAAGACGTTACTCATCTGCCCGATTAAAAATTAGTTAATGCGAATAATAGATTTCATAATGCATAATTTTACTTCTTTTATTTCTGTGTTTTACTTAGCACTGGGAATGAGTTAATACGATTTTTGTAAACTTTTGCAATGACTATTATTTAAAAGCAGTATTATTATACAGAGTCAACTACTCATAAAATAATGAAAACACTATTTTTAATTGATATTTATATAATTTTGTATGTATACTCACATATTCTTCTACTTTAAAAGTATATATACTAATTTATTGTTATGCAGAATGTCATTCAAACAGTTTTTCCTAATACTAGTTTTAAATTCCTTTTAAATCCTCCTCTCCCCTTCTTTTCGGAAACAGTTTTTTTAAATGCTGCTTTTTCTCAGTCTGCAAAACAAATTTTTTCTCAAGAACTCAAATTTTATCATTAAATCATTCACATTATTTTGGAAGCTGGAAAAAGTACAACACTGCATAATAACATTACATTCACATAACTCTTCACGACTATTGTTATTATCATTTTCAAGTTCCAGATAAGTCTTTTGGGGACTTAAATTCTGAATTCTGTCAAATACACTTTGAAGTTTTTTTTTTTTTTTTTTTTTTTTCTTTTCTCTTCTGCTGTACTTGCTGCTTGATATATTCTGATAAACAGCCGAGTCAGATATATTAACAGTCTGGTTTAGTAGTTGAAATCAGCACCTTTTATTGTCGGTAAACCTAGCGACTTATTTTCCATATCATCCTCGCAATCACATTTAGTGAAGTGATTGCTTGATATTCTAGAATTCTTTGTGTTGAGGTTGGCGGAAATTTCAGCAATGGTCGCCAGTCGTTTCTGTGGAATTCTAAAGGATACAGTCATCTATAATTGGCATTAAATTGCGTTATTTGGCCGGTCGACAGAACAATACGTAAGTACTACTGAATATTTCTAAGTGAAAATCGATGAAATATCATGTTTGTTTCTTTCGTATACATAGTACTGCAAGTAAAGACGATACAGGACATTAGTTTAAAAAAATATCTTCCCATTACAAACACTTTCTAAATACAAATTTAATTTCAAAGTATCCTTAGTAATAATTTTCATATAACAGACACCTCTTTCTCTGAATCTAAGAATTAAAAGACCAAAGCTTTATATTATACAGCTCTCGTCAGTAGGCGAGGTGATGAACCCCACGACGTCACATAACATCCGATATACTTCCCAAGAGAGCTCGTGTCCGGATCTTTCCCTTCGTAGGAATGACTCAGCCCTTCTCTTTCCTTACCCTTGATCACACATCCTGCACAGACGGGGATGGTATAAAGTAACGGAAGTCATTGTGTTAACGACAGGCGAAGGCTGTGTGACAGAAATAGGTATATTACTATACGCTGTAGCATTCATTATTTACTTCAGTATCCCTTGTGCTTCTAGATATTTATGGACTCACGTAGAACTTGCATCATGTACTACTTTTACATTTTGATTGTCTCCCTATATCAGTAATTTTCACTGCATCATTTTTACATACTACATTCTTCTAAATAATTTTCTAGACTTGGTGGACTACTGAATGCATTGAAGAACCATTCTATCATTTATTTTGTATTTCTGCGCCAGAAATTATTCATCGCGTCATTTGAACAAAGTTTTCAATTATTAATTTTATCACTGAAAAGGGTCACACTGTTTGATCACAATGGAATAAAATGCCACTATTTTTCCCCTTCCAAATGCTAGTCCTTGGGAGCCTATTTCACGCATTTTCATTTCGCCAGGCCCAAAATGGAATCACCTCAGGCTCCAGGTAAGAGCTATTTTAATAGTTGTGTATCTGGTGAAATAAAACGCGAATATATTATTTCATAATATATTAATGAAAACGTCAGCCGAATGGACAGATATTGTACATTCATTTGCAAAACATTTCCTTAACATTAACGAAAGTTATCGTCTTCTTTCATATATTTTATTATAAGCGATTCTGAACGCAGCATTTTAATACTGAATGATCTACACTACAGCACTTACAAATTAATATGGTGTCATTACTAGTTAAGTTAAGGTAAAGTACCTCACGAGCTATACGCCCTGAGAATGATAATCTGTTTCATACTCGTACGTTCTGGCGTAATGATAATCTGTTTCATACTCGTACGTTCTGGTGTTTTACGCAAAGAGTTTACGTAAAACGCCTATCACGTACGCTATTCGTAGCTGAAACACGACATCGAAAGAAACATTTCTCAGAACGCCGTTCCGCCAAACCGGGTTACCATCTTCACTTGGTAAACAGACTTCAAAGCCTAACAGGAATCGGTTATCCCTCAGATTGGCGAAAGAGGCGTTTGCATTCAAATTCCATAAATATATAAAATATATTTTGTCATTATTTTAATACTGTTGGCTCAATACCTTGGCAAAATGACTTTTAAATTGTATATTTTTTAACTTCGATTATTGTAATGATCTGTAATGTACATTTTTGGAAATACTTTTATAGTGTACATTCAGTGATTTGCAATTATTTCTAATTTTATTATATGGGGGGCCCATCAGCGGCCGAGCGCTAACGTCGCTGAGCACTGGTAGTTCGGTCTGAGGTTCGAATCCCGCGAACGGGCTGGCTGCATGGGTGTTTTCGTGGTTTTCCCATGTGTAACGTGCAAACGAGCCAGTATCCCTTAAAAAGTCCTCGACGAAGGCATTCCTGTCTTAGGGCAGATAGCCCTCGAGTGCTTTGCCGTAATCTAATAAACCAAACCAATTTTATTATTGTAAACAATATTTTTATATCCATATATTTATTTAATAACTTTCATGTACACAATATAATGTCATTTACTGATATATGTTTTGTGATGAGTCAAAAATATTTATTTTATCCCCAAAATGTTAAATATTTCGTAAAAGATACTTCCTCAATTTTTTGTTTGTTTGTAAATGAGTGAATTTTAATAACTCGCCTTACGAACAAAATGCACTCCAATTATTTTACAATTGTATATTCCATATCCAGGATAATGTGCAAAGAACTAATGACTACAGTTGCTGCCGATTACATGATCGTTATATCAATTCGAAGTAACTTAAATAAACTTTTTGGCAATGGTCATTTTTGAATTGATATATACACACACACACATCTAATAAGTCATATATTTACATGCACATAGAGAGATGCGATGGTTTAAAAGTTGTTGATGTATGTTTATTAATGTAATAAATAAGATTTATATTAATGAATGCATATACAAATGTTTTTAATCGTTCATAATAATAAATTCATAAATTTCCAATGTTTCAATGTGTAGCATTTACGATAAAAATATAGTTCTTTATGTATTTATAATCTAAAAAGTATTTCATTAGTATTATCAAAATAATTCTCATTATTACATAAGCTATGTTTTCCTTTTTTACGCAGTATGTCGCTGATTATGCAATTTCGATTTAAAATTAATAAAAGTAATTAGCAGAAAAGTAAAGTCGCGGATATACAAACAGATTTTTAAAAAATTATTCACCTTAAATTTAACAAAAAAATTATATTATATAACAATACCATTTCTTTTCACAAGATCACCACGAAATACGACAATTTTGGCGACGAATAATTTGTAAACAAATCATTAGGAATTGCACGTCATAAAATACTGTCTACTCTGAAATTTTCACGATTATAAATTTAATGAAAATATAAACATTTTAAAAATGACTTAAGACAGTTATACTACAACAAAACAGCAATATATATATATACGGCTTTTCCATATTTCTTCAATTAAGTCGGCTTCTATTTCCATCATTCAGGATCTCACAGTTGCAGCCATCGCCATATTGAAAATTACCCGTGATCCTTCACAAGCAGAGCTTTCGTCTGATTTGGTTGATCTCTACGTGGAACACAGCTGCAAATTAACAGTTTCCGGAAAAGTTTCTCATAGCCAGACACCCCTTCCTCGGCTAGATGGAACTAACACCCTCTGAGGCTGCTATCACACTTCCGTTTGTTTTGTAAGAAAAACTGTTTGGAACAATTTTTCTGCTTTGTCACAACAGCTAATCACCACAGATCACTTTCGGATTAACATTGTAAATGGGAAACTGGTTCTCCATTACACAAACTGACAGCATTCGAAGCTGATTGGTTGAAAACGAACAACTTGCAATTTTTTTCGAAAGGAAGGAAAAACTCGCGCGTCTTTCTTTCAATTGTAAACCAGGGAGAAAAATTGTCCGAAACAGTTGCTTGTATGAAACAACTGCATGTGTGATATGGGCCTTAAACAGAAAGGTGTTGTTTAAGAAGGTGTTGAATGGAAGAATTCTTGGAAACCTCCAGCTTAAAAGAATCTCGTTTCTTATCGTTGGTTTACCTAAAAATGAAGGCTTGTTAAACCGCCATTACCAGGGTATGTACATATCCTATTTTAACAAGCCCTCACTTCCCTAATCGTCGGTTTACCAACTTAAAGTCATACGAAGTACCCATCTGTTTATTTTTAGATGATTCAATGTGATTGACATCGTCTTGGAAAACATGATGTTATCGGAACAAATAAGGCGATTAACAATTAAAAGAATGAAATTATAGAGAGATAATGAATAAAATTATCCTTTCTTATCAGTAAATGACCATATAAATATGTTGTTTAGAAATATTTGATCTCAGCAGATTTCTCATTTCATTGCAAATCTTGGAGGATTGTACTTCAAAGCAGTCATTCTTAACTCTTACAATACTCACGATGACCGAAATATATGATGATTAGTTAATACTGTCCTATTTCAAAGACTTCCATGGCAAAGAAAAGGCTGATTCTGTCTTTTTCTGGAATTCTGCACGTATCCTTTCCAACCCGTAAAACTGAATATTTACGGCCACCAACATACTCCACCTCCACTTTGTTGCGCCTTCGTAAATGAAGATGGACTCACCTACAGTTTTTTCCGGTACATCGATCGTCACCCAACCTTGAACTCCTATGCTGCAGCAAATCAAAAGTGAATTTGAAGAACTCACACGCGAAAAATATTACGTTCTGCTAAACAAATACCCTGACGGGGATGCCAAGATATCCGCGCACACAGACTATAAAAGCTCCCAGGACCCTTCCTGCTGCATTCCCACACTGAGTTACGGTGCAACACGAATAATGCATTTTACAAGAGAGATTTATATGACTCGCATTCTGAGCCTGGAACATGGATCGCTTCTTCTGATGAACCCCTCCCCCCACGAATGTAGTCTGGAAAAAAGGTATCCCATCACAGCCAGAAGTGAAGGCTATTCGAATAAGTTTGACGTCTAGAAAAATTATATCTACGCTATTGAACCGTTCTTCTGAAGAAATGGATTTCGGTTGTTACGACGAGATAATTAACTCCATAACCCCCAAACTGTGTATGAATAAAAAGACTTTTCCGCGCAAGAAATCACGTTTAGAAGATGAGATACTCGAGATACCCCAGGACGACTGGCTGAGTCGGCATTATCAGTCAACACGAAATCATGATGAAGTGATCAATTATTGGTCATTAGAACAGATGTGTCGTCTTCCACCGTTGTAAGTAGAAATAATAACGTTCGAATTCATATACAGAACTTTGCAGAAAAGAATAATTTCAACTGTGGATCTTCTCTTCAGGGTTAAGTATGACTCCTGCGACGTGGTATGATTTCATGAACAAATTACCAAACTTTAATTTCAGGTATTCGTAAGCATCTTTCATAGCTAATAATCAGTTGGCGGTATTTTGTGCAAACGGGGTATGTGTTCTTCAACAAATTTTTAAAAGCTCCTGCGGTGGTTTCCGTCTCGTAGCAGATTATTTTGAATTAGAATCAATATAAGACCAATAAACTTTTAGATTTATACAGTGAAATAACGCATACTATCCAAACTGCCCTATTTGAAATTGTGTTACCACATGAGATAAGAAAACTGGAACATTTAACTAGCGAGCAATGCACGCAGAAAGTTAACAATGTTATTTAGGAGGAGTACATAACCAGTCTCAACGAGATATTTATCTGTGAGGGATGTGCAGTCGATCATTCAAGTCAGTGTCGCCACCCCTGTATAATGGAAACGACTCGGGGGAAAAGCTATGAATAATACTGACAAAGCAATATTTGTATTGTCAATGAACTTTAAAAGACTTGTTCAAAAACTCGCTGTTGTATTTATGATAGTGATGACTTTTGAAGAATATTTCATTGTCGCCTCTAAGTGATAGAATAGAAAATTTGTGATAAAAAATTATTTTAGTAAGTATGTATTTTAACAAAAAATGTTTATTTATATTGAGATGTATCTTTATTTAGCTCATATTATGTTTTAAATGAATATCTCTTTACCTTACTTTTACTGCTTAAGTCTTTTGATAACTTACCATAAGAATACCTTTTTTTTACCGTTTAGTGCTTATAGGAAATGGTTTGTTACTCAGGTTTTATACCAATGCATTGCAGAATTTTACATTTCATTTAAGTATAGGTAACGTTTTACTGTTCCTAATGAATGGAATTTTCTTAGAATGTACGTGGGTCTTGGATATTTAATTGCATTTTCTTTAATAATGCTTGAGAATAATTTAATAATAAGTCGCATAAATATGCTTTTCTTTTAAAAATCCTAATCGAAAGTTAATTTAAATTAGTTGATTTAGTATTAAATGTATCTAAAGTGCAAATTGTACCGCAAAATTATTCATGACTTTTGTGTATATACTGACAAGGCTAGATGAAGTTAACTTCAGGTTTTCCTACTGATAGTAAATCTGGAGTGAATAAGAATGTGTTAAGACTCATTTTTAGGTACACAAGTTGCTTTCTACAGCACATTTTTCTAAATCTTGTTGAGGAATTCTGGGTAAATAACTTACATTAGATAAAGGCTATATCCTCATTTGGATTAAAGTAGTAAATATTCTAACAGTGGACAATTCTTCTTCCATATTTAGTTCTTAAGAAAATAGTTCTAAGATAGGTATTCGGTGCTGAGGAAATACTGCAGGAGAAGATGAATGATTTAAATAGCCTTTGGAGTTGGAAAGTTGAATGATCTTTGGAGTTTTCACCTAAAAAAAAGGTAATATTTAGCAGCAGTAATTAAACTGCAGTTCTCAAACATGCATAGAAAGCTCCTATAATGCAAACTTATATGTACAATTATGGGAAAATGGAACACTTATTTGAGTGTAATTTTATATTCTAAAGGGGTTATTCCTCATTAAAGGGGGATTAGTAAGGAATATTTAACTGATATAATGAATATTTATGAATAAATTTCTGTATTCGAGATGGATGAAAGTTTCGAAAATATAGCGAAGATTTTGGTAAAATGGCTCTTACTGTTTTTTTCTTTGGTTCTGTAAATATAAGTATGTTGGTAACGATATATATTGTGTTTCACAAGATTTCGTTCATAAGAGAATAAACTGGTAAATAAATTAATGAAAACTGACACTCAACAAAATCCTAGTGTAAGAAATTTAAAAATAGACTATATGCAGTTGTCTAGGGAAATTTAGTTGGAAATCAACTAGGTTCGAAGAAATGTGTTAACATTATGCACTAGAAATAAAATTATATCCATTAAACAAAATTTCAAGAGCTGAAATGATAACCAATGGGTAAAATCGATGAAATCAATGGTCATTCACCTCTCATTCGATACTGAAAATGTTTATCATAGGAATTTCTTTTGTATGTGTAACTTTAATAATCGTTAATTTCACATGAAAGTTGCCGATGAAGTCAGAAATATCTGTACTCAGTAAAGGAAAAGGGTAATAATGTAAAATTTTCCATAGTCGATACACTTAAAATTTTAAAAATAATAGTATACAATGTAGTCAATTATAAAAAAATACTGAATTAAGGTATTAAGTGTTCAAAATAATAAGAAAGACTTCTGGATATGTACATGAAGCAGTGAATATGGCTCTAAAATTGTGGATAAAAGCTGAGATTTAATTCTAAAAATGCGGAATCTATCAAGTTAGCTTAATGAGAATCGAAGTTCAAAACTGAACATTGTTAGCATTGAAGAGCTTAAAAACATATATTCAGATATAAAGGGTATTAAGAATTAAAAGGCAGTACCAGAATATGCAAGAAATGTTAAAGTTTGAAAAAGAGAATGAAGTTAATAATGAAGTAAAATAGTATAGTCATGGTAAGAGTGCTACAGAATGATAAATTGTATAGTTGGCAAATTAAAATAGTACTATAAAATATAGACTAAGTAAGGGCTATTCGACGAATTGGATATGAAAAACAGTTAAAGGTTGTAAAATAAAATGCTTAATTAAAAACTATTTCTATGTTTAAGAAATTTAAACGTGTAAATTTAGCTGAAATAGTAAAATCTAAAACGTGATTACAGTCGAAAATTATAAAAAAAAGAGTTAAAATTTAGAGTATGGTGAAAACTAGAAAGAAAAAAAAAGGTGTCGGAAAAGTATAAAAATTACATCTAAAATTAATTAAAGTTCATGTATATAATAGGAAAACGTAATAAACAAGTTCAAAATTAGAGTACTTTTTAAATTACGAAGGTTTGAAATGTACGAAACATGTTGAAAATAGCATCTAAAATTAAATAAAGCCCATATGTATGGTAAGAAAATAAGAGGAATTAAGCTAAAACTAAGGGCCTGTTTGAAATTACGAAGGTTAAAAAGTATAAAAATAGTTAAAAATGAAATGAAAATTATGTACATAGTGTGAAAATATAGCAATTCAGAGTATGTTGGAAACTAAAAACGTTAAAAATAGAAAAGTTAAAATTTACATCTAAAATTAAATAAAAGTCAGGTATATGATCTGAAAATATAGGAATTATGTTTAAATTAAGACTATATTAGAAGTTATGAAGGTTAAAACGCATGAAAGCAGCTACAAATTAACTGAAAATCATGTACATAGTGTGAAAATACAGTAAATTGTTAAAATTCAGAATATGTTGGAAACTAAAATCGTTAAAAAGCAGAAAAGAAGTTGAAACGTACATCTAAAATTAAACAAAATGCAGGTATATGATCTGAAAATATAACGAATTATGTTAAAATTAAGACTATATTAGAAATTATGAAGGTTAAAACGTGTGAAAGAAATTAAATAAAAGTTATTTATATAGTGTGAAAATTAGAGTACATTGAATATTATGAAGGTTAAAATGCACAAAACAAGCTAAAAATATTACACCTAAACTTAAGTAATAGTCACGTGCGTAATCAGAAAATACAAGAAATAAGTTAAAATACAGAATATATTGAAGATCACTAACGTTAAAATAGCGAAAAAAGTTAAAAATTATATCTAAAATTCAATAATATAATAAATAGAAACGGAAATCTGAATAATTATGCTCGTAAAATATAACAAGTTAAGAGTGTTGGTTAAAAGGCATGAAAATAATTCTGGGTAGAATAAATTTAATACTAAAAAATGAGTAATGTAATTAAGATTACGGAAAAGTAAATCTGGTATCATGAACAGAAGATTTAGGAAATAAGTTGTATTCTAAATAAATTTCTATTCTGAGTATATAGGGAATTAAAAAGTCTTAAAAATATATGGAAACAGAAAAAAAAAATTACATTTAAAATTAGGCCTTCTGAATAAATCATTAAATTGGAAAATAAGCGCCGTTAAGGGTACCTAGGAAAACGTCATCATATACGTTGTAAAATAGCTGGAATACCCCTAAAAAAAAATTACAAAGGCTAAAAATTCGTTAACGAAAACCTTCGGAAAATCAATAAAAGAAATCAAATCTTATCAAAGTGTGACGTCATCTTATCAACTGAATGAGGAATCATAACACACTCCTTATCTGTTAGCCTCCACTCTACAATCTTTCGGTATATATTCTGCATGGCGTAACCTCCTTTCCAGGAACGTCACTAGCCACGCCCACGCCTCACAACCCCAACGCGACAGTCTGACTACACTGCACTCTCTGCTTCCTTCCGATAGCTTTAGCTCTAGACCACGTGACCTTTCTTGGACTTAGCCGCAGTTTGGACGTTCTCTTACGTTCAGCGACAGACGTCAGTCGAGTGGCTACGCTTCCCGAGTTCTGCGAGATGAATTTTATCGTACATCGCAATTAATTGCAAGATATGGCTCTAACTACATTATGCATCACATCAGTATTCGACGCTACATGCCTATAACTGCTATCACCTACAAAACTGTGATATTTCTACATTTATTTCTCTACTTCTTCACTTAGCGAAATTTTTTGCCACCTCTTCATTGGACATTCACAAGAAAAGATATAACTGAAACTTTTTTTTTCATCTGCTACACACAGGGTAGGGCATCGCCTTTGAGCCTGACTTTAGTGACTGCGTCACCTTATACACCGCATGCGGCAGAACTGTTAATTTCTATCTACTTATAAGTCTCGCACAGTATCTATTGCTCAGGCACAGGTCATGTACTTTGTTGCAGGAACCTACTCCTTTACCTCATCTAACGGCAGAAGAGCAATTCTCTAAACGCCAAACTTTGTTTTCATCAGTGAGATCGAGAAGCACTCATTTGTCAAGCTTCATCCTTTTCCTAATACAGCCAAGTGCTGTGTATCAACTGGAAAAATATGCGTTTAGTGTTTTAACAATCTCTCGTACAGTGTGCTGTGGATGTGATTCGATTAAATCCTTTATTTCATTCGAATGGATGGAGGAAAATCGATGAATGTTTACAGGTTTTGTTTTGTGGCCTCAAATTTCCTGAGCGAAATTTTGCACGCCAACAGCGAGTTTAGATTCTCATTAGTTGTTCCTCCGCCGAATGCTGTAACCATGATTTTTACCTACAGCCGCTGCAGAATTTTCCAATTTGAACCCGTAAAGGCTTAGAAAATTTAATTGCTCGAGTTCCGTGGTTAATTTGATGTCGATAATATTCAGTGCTAAATGAAATAAATAGTACAGTTCTATCACCCTCACATAACGCTTTCACACGATAAAAAATTTACACAAACTCCAGCACCTGCTTTTCTCCCACAACCAGTAAAAACCCGACGTAATTCAACGGCCATTTTCATTTAAAAAAAAAAAAAAAACCAATGCATTCTATTTAAATCAGAATTAAAGTGTTGATTTTTTGTTTTTTGTCACATCATTTTGCAGAACGTCACAGTTATTTATACTCTCTGTATCTGTACAACAGGTAATGGATCTACAAAGCTGCATTTCTAATTCAATATTAAATATTGAATACCAGACCTTTTCTATTTTTTTTAATTATAAGCAAGTAAACAACTCCAATATGATATACATTTCCTTCGAAGATATGTTCTTTGATTATTTCCTAATGGTTTCGGGCGTTTCTGAACATCATTTGCATTAGGAAACAATCTTTTATTTCTTTACAAATTTCCCCGAAAACTTGCTGTTTTGGTAAAACTCATCTCACGCTGTCCTTTGGCTAGATGTGTGTGTGTGTGATTATGGCAAAGGCTCGAGGGCTATCTGCCTAAGGAAAGGGATGCCTTCGTGGAGGACTAAGGGAAACTGGCTCGTATACACATTACACATGGGGGAAACCACGAAAACGCCCATGCAGCCAGCGGGATTCTAGCCTCGGACCGAACTACCAGTGTTCAGCGACTTTACCGCTCGGCCGCTAATGGGCCCCTTTGGCTAGACGAAAAGACTTTTGGGTAAGCAACAATTTTGGTTTTCGAGTGTCCGATTAAAAAAATTAAAAAAAAAAAAGCCAAATTATTTCCTTCGTGTTGTTTCAGTCAATGGTTGTATTTTCATATAAATACTACACCATCTGATCAAAGTAAATTCCTTAACCCAACAATTTATACCAAAACACAGTGCGGTAAGAAAAGGAGGTAATGGTATCATATCATAACTTTTTTTTTAGCATTGCAGGTTTTCAGAGTTCATCTTCAAATTTTCTTTTCCAATACAAAAGGTTCATTAGACGGGCATTTTCACGTTCTTGATTAACATGTAAAAATAAATGCTCTTCAGCACAGGAAACTTATAGGTTCCTGTGCTGAAGATTAAACTTGGATTGAACTTGCGCATTAATGCAAC